CCTCAGTATCAGTGCAGGTGGAGTGTCAGCCGTCAACGGTGTGTGTGTGAGCGGTGTGTGTGTGAGCGTCTAAAGACAGCGAGCTGCCGGAGCTGCCGGAGCTGCTGTCGTCGCAAACGTCCTCTGCGTCGGAGAAGGAGGACATGTAGTGCAGTCCGGTGACTTGGTGGTACTCGCCCTGCAGCATCTGAGGGAACGCAGTGAGCTCCATCGCCCTGCGGCCCCCCCGCCTCACCCTCACCGTCCACCTGTCACACAGCTGCGAACACATGGTGCAGCCCATAGTGTGTGCGTGCGTGCGTGCGTGCGTGTGTGTGTGTGTGTGCGTGCGTGCGTGCGTGCGTGCGTATGTATGTAAAGTTCAGGAGAGATTATACAGGTGTACACAGTTATACTACACCCAGGTGATGGATGTAGGGCTCCACAATTGATTAGAATGTTATCGAAATATGGACTAGTGTAATATCCACATCATAGGAGGTGCAATATTAATCATTGTTTGGTATAGATCCTAAATCTCATTAATATCATTGATATTTGTACAGTATTTTATATACAATTATTTTTAAATTGAGATTGTAAATAGTGATTAATTACCTATAATAGTCCTTATGGTCATATGCAAATGCAGTTTCAATCAATATAAGATTAGATTATACTTTATTGATCCCATATTGGGAATTTTCTATTTTTTGTTATAATTTCTTCTCAATAAATATATGTATTCAATTGTGCAGCCCTAATAGCATGCATACTCATAATGCAACAGCTTCTCCAAGACATTTTGCAGGCGAGAAAAACATCATTAACTTAACCAAGGAGGGTCATATATGTCACTCTGTTTCTTACTCTCAACTATATTTTGACTGTAGGCAACACAAAATACAGTGACAGTAAAAGAAGTGCATCTTTACCTCTTCATCAAAGCGTATAAATATGTATATTCAGATGTATCTGGATATTTGTCTTTGTATCTGTTTCAAAGAGGTTGCATTGCACCAGTAAAGAGTCTCATCAAGTTGGAGGACTAAGGAGGGACACCTTTTTAATAGATTGGTCTATATCTTGTCAGGAGAGGACAACGTCCTCCGTAAATAACGCCAATAAGTTTGTTGTTGGTTAGTTTGTGGGTAGCATTACAGAAAAACTACTGGTTTGATTGTAATAACACTTTGAAGAGGGTTGTGGACTCATTCAACTTTGAATGGCAGATCAGTCTTGGTGGAGTTCTCTGGTTATAATATATATATATACGGATCTAACATTTTAGCTTACATTAAACAACCCAGTGTAATTGTACTGTATTGTAGAATGTACTGAATAGTATACCTAACGTTTTATGTTTAACTATTGCTGTTTGATATATTGCAAAAACATGATCACACATTTTTCATATAATTCCCAGCTAAATATAAGATGTATGACTGTGAAATTGTGCAATTATTCATATGAATAGCAATGTTGGCACTACATGAAAGGTGTTTCCCAGGAATGTGGGATTCCTCCTATAACACAGTTGCACTTAGAAGACAAAAAATAGACACGCGAAAAAAGGGAGGTGCAGCACGAATTACCACACAACAAGGAGCTACTGGATGTTTCCACGTGTTTTTAGCAACCGAAAAACCACAAACGGCTCACATCCAGCCCTGCCTGCAGGCCTCAGCCAGGGTTAGCATGAGTTAAACAGTTCACACAGTCAGATAATCTCAAGGTGTTCTCCGTCTCTAACAGCTGCCAGACACGGCATGTCAATATTTACAGCCGCAGAGAGAGGAGCTGAATCAGAGCGGACTGCAGTGCTTCTTCCAGGATTTCTTTGTGGTGACTCGCTCCTCTGAAGATACTGCAGCACTTTGATCTTCTGCTTTAGATGTGTGCAGGATCACCTTCAGGACTGCTCATGTCGGAGCTTCCATGAATGAATTGGCTTCTCTGTCATGTTAGTTATCCTGTCTTCAGCTTGATGAAGCATGGCTGTCAGATAGGATGCAACATATTCCTGAGGAAAGAAATGGATTGGCGGTTAGATGGCAGCAGATCAAGACATTGCACTGTCACTTTTCCAGAAGTTAAAGGACAACATGTTTCACAAGTCTGATGAGAAGACAGTATAAATGTAGAAAGCATGCACTCAAGAAGCAAAATATGTAACTTAAAAGTGGATAAATATAATAAACTAAACTCACAAACAATGAAATAGATAATGGTTAATTAAAACTAAAAACATTTTAAAACATGATTACTATTAAATAGGGCCATATAACATTTTAAATGAAAAGCCAGGCTGTAGATTTTGTATTTAAATGTAAAGATGCTAATAATTTGAGTTGCTCTCAGATCCCCCGAGAAGAACTTTTTTAATTTTTTGCACTTTGAAATAATAAAAAGCTTTGTGTAAGATTATACATTGAAAATATGTCAAGTAGGCAAGTGCAAGACCACGAAGCGCTTCAAAAACAAGCAAAATACATATATTTTCTCTTACATATAGTACTATTTATCAATCTAGATAGTTGTGGTGTGAGATAACAAGTGTTGGTGCTATCCGCTGTAAAGATGTCTGCCTTCACTCTACGTGTTTTAAAACACAAAATAATTTTAAGCTACTCTACATCAACATGTCTTTTCAGAAAACCGGGTTAATCAAGATAATCCACAAACCGTGTTTCAAGTAGGAACTATTTCCTGTCTACCAAATCCTGAATGCCATCAAGTTCAATTATATTGACGAAAAAGCAGACTTTTTTACAACTTGTTTATTGTTTTATGGCCGGTTGAAAAACATCCCTGTATACATTCAATTGAAACATAAATCAATCATACAAATATTTGAGAAGTAGCCATAAATGAAGTAGCACTAAAGTTAGGTGTACTATTAAGATGGTGAACTGTCCCTTTTAAAAAAACAAGTGTAATGTTCTCCATTTCTACTCTAGTCAGCACTAATTCATGACTGATGTGAGCTCAGCAGGAGAGAGAGGGGTAACAAGTGCAAATTTAGGTAAAACGGGGGAACCATTCAACTGTCCCTAATCTGGAATATTAAATATGTATATATAAACCCTGACACACAATCAATCTTTTTTGACTGCCGGAGGGACACAAAAATACTTATTTAGCAAATACACTGAAGAAAACCAATAAAGCTGATTCACACTAGCACAGATATTTCCATGCATGATTGGTAATTATTCCACTTCATTAGGGCCAATCTCAACCATCCCTCCTAAATCTGTGATGTTGACCTTCATCACACAGGGCTGAGAGCCAGTAGCAGGAGTGTGAATGACATTAATGAAGAGGATGGAGTGGTCTGCCCGCCACACCCATCCCTGTCTTGGATCCTCCGTATTCAACGTCCTATAAAACTACTGCTCTGGGATGATGAATTATTAAGCAGTATTTATGGTGTGTCACCAAAAGCATCCCTTAAAGCGTCCAGTTTGCCAAAACACACACACAGACTAGGAAACATGCCATCGTTTTTAGGTAATGTGATGTAAACTGCAGCTGCATTTATGTCCTCTAAGCCAATTTTTTCTTTTGGTCTCTTACCTGCACAGATTGTCTGCTGTCCTGTGTTGCAGAAGGCTCTCAGTGTGCATATCCTCCCATCTGCCGGCTGTGTTTTCCTCTCCGTCTGCCTCTGTCTGGATGCAGCTCGGCATACGTACGGTGGACCTGGGATGACATCACAGCTGCACACTGGCGAGTTGCCCCCACTCCTTTTAAATAACAAGTAAACCCTGTCACTCTGGGTCTAACACTTAACTATATTGGGACCGTAGACTAAATAAGTTACAATAACAGTAAAAGAAGTGCAGCTTTACTTTTTTTTACTCTACAGAAGTATCAAACTGAAGTCAGTGTCTCAAGGGAAGTTGATACACATTTAGATAGTTATATGATTTATCTGAACACTTTATTTAAGTATATATTTTAATTGCACCAATGAAGAGTCCCGTTAAGTTGTACCATTCAGAAAAACGGATTTAATTATTTTTTGTATTGGTTCAAATCAATGCAGCACAAATGTATATGCCATTTTTAAGACAAAAGTTTTTTTGCCAGCAGGATTATGGAAAAATTAGCAGCCTGATTTTTGTGAAACTTAGTGGAAGGATGTTTTGGCCAATGATGAGTCTGCTACATTTTGGAATGGATCCAAAGTATAATCAGCAATTATTATCGTACACACAAATAGCTTAGACATTGTGCTTATTAACCTTAATGTATAGAGTAAGATGATGAATTTGATACCACTATTGTGTCTGCAAGTTAAATATGGAGCTGGAGTCAGTTAGCTTAGCTTAGCATAAAGACTGGGTTCAGGGACAAACAGTTAGCCTAGCTCTCTGTCAATACATTTTTGTTTTTGTATAGATTATAAAAAACATATCTGATATTTAAACCAGAAGGACTCTCAGAGAGTTTAGATATCTGCCAAGTCTGATTTCATAATTGATGTTTCCTCTCTGTGATTCAGATCTTCTTCAGAATTGTATCATTTATGGGCCCTTGCTGCTTCCTTCCAAATGTTACGAACAGTAGTTTTTCCCAAATGCTGCTGACAAACAAACAGGCAAACCCAAGAAAATAATGCCCTTATGGGGAGCTAGGTAACTGTCACCTAGCTGTAGCTTCGTATTTAACACACACTTCTTAACTGACTTTCAGCCAGACAGTGCATGATCACATTTTCTGAAATTACTATTACAATGTTTCCGCCTAAACTCAATGCCCCTGGGTTATAATGTATGACTTTCCATAATTAACATACTTCATAAAGTATACTTTGCAAGGTAGTGGGGTATAGGAGGCAGCCTGTTGCAGCAGCTCCAGGTGGTTGTTTTCTTATTTGTTTGTGTTTTTTGTACTATTCCTTGTTGTGCTTTTGTTACTTTCAAACATTTTATTTAAAAGAAAATCCCAATTTGGGATGAATAAAGTGTGTCTAATCCAATGTTATTTATATCACAGCAAAAAGAAAACGCAGATGAAATCAAAGACCAGGCAATTTTAATCATTAAACCAGTCATGATTGATTACATCAGTTATACAGACATTAAGACATATCATTTAAGACTTAAGTCCTGTGTTATCACCATGATCATGACACAGCCACACACTGTAAAAAAATGGGGAAAACATGAGTCAGCGGAAATCTGTTGGGCTGTCTCCAGGCTGTCACGATATTCCTGATGAACGTGCTCAAACCACAGCAATGCTTGAAATTTCCCTGTGAAATAGAAATTTCACACGCATAGCTACGTGTTGTAACAGAAGCAAACAAACTCCTGGGCGGGGATAATTAAGTAATTACCACGCAACGCTTCTTAACACACATTGCACAAAGATTTGTCATTTTTTTTCATTGCACTTAATCCCCCAAAGATCTAAACATAGCACACACTCACAAATCTCTATAGCATCAATATCATCTCTGCTGGATACAGACTGGACACGTGTAAAACGAAAATGCTACAAAACAGTTTTTCTTAAGACAAATTACTAAAATTGGTGAATTGCTCTTTGGACACATCAACAACAACAAAAGAAAACATGGAGATTATTTTAGACCATGGTCTGGAATAAAATGAAAATAAAGGAACATTTGAAGGAGAATTAATATAATCATGATGGCTTTTTTCCGTAAATGGTTTTGCTCACAGGATATTCAGTATGACGACTCTGAACTATGAGGATTTTCCTTTTTATTTCCTTTTTTTTTCTTTCTTTGAAAGTAAAAAATATTCCTAAAGGTAGTGTATATTTATCTTTTTAATAATAATGAATTAATAAGAAAGGGGTTGTGGTGATGAAGCTAAACAATGTGCAGCTTCACTCTGGTTTACGCAGCTTTATAGTTCTAGCTCATTGTTTAGCTTTCTGTGCTGCTATTTAACTGTTTTAATTCACTCTTATAGCGTCATTCTTCAGAGTAAAAGATGTAAAAATCATCTGTACACTACCTGTTCCTAACTAAACAGACATAGTGAGCGACTAGCTGATAAATATATAGAAGGATTTGGTACATGAAAAGGCAGGTATTTCCCTAGACTGGGTTGGTAAAGACCAAAAACGGAGCCAAAACAGTAAATATTGGTATTCTTTTTATCAGGAACGTGACTCTACATGATTGAAAATGTTGGTCTGGGACGGCTGAATGTGTCAATTAGCCACGGTTTGCTAACATCAACTTGAATAGTTATGCCTGTCTTGTGTTCCCAAATTGTTTTCCATGTCTTCAAGTGACCAAAAAGCAGTTATTTAAAATGTAACTTTGCAAAAAACTGAAAAAACAAGAACCAAAAACTGTCAGATCAAATAAACCAAAAAGTAAAGTTCACTCGAAGCGTCAGCTTCTGGTGTCAGCTCCTATATCTGTCATACTTTAATGTATTATATATAGATTGTAAATGGTACTCGTAACTTTTCCTGCTAAGACATGTCAAAATATTTACAGTGAGAAATGTCTGTTGGGTATTTTTGATTACCATCTGCTCGCCTTGTTTGAGTCATTTTATAAACAGTTTAAAATAATTGTGCTATTTAAACATAATGTAATGCAACAGAAAGATCATTTAATGGATACTCTAGATTGGTATTTTTTATAAAAATAAGAGAAACACTCGACATTCTTGTTTCCCATCGCTCACTCTACCACAACAGCAGGCTTCAAATGTGTCGGCACACTCTGCAGGTCTGTACAGTAAAAAAAGGCAAGCATGTGATTTATCTACAATGAGAAAGAGGAGGACGTGTTTTTTATTTATTTTTCCCCCAGAGTTTCGACTGGCTTCGTGCAATTTCTCCTAGATTTTACCCTGGTACTTTAATTCGCAATTTATGCTGTAAAAGAAGGAATCTGCAGAACAATATTTAGGGTGATATTTCAGATTTAAACAAAGTAACTGCTCTTAGCAACTCTGCATGTTCGCTGCTTTAAATGGAAGTCAGAGGCTGGTATTTGAAGGTCTTTGTAGTGTCTTGTTGTTTTTAAATTGCACAACACACGGTTTGAGTAGTATCTGTGATCCAAGGATATAAAAAAAAAAGCAAAAGATCTTAATACATATTTCTCGATTAAAGAGTGTTGTGGTTCGAGGAATGTGTTGATTCATCGCTTCCTGTGTGGGTGGAAGTGTTCCAACATATTAAGATTTGGAGTAAACGAGCTATAGTTAAGACGTGTGGTTTTACATATCATTTTAAAATGCATCTTCAAGAAGAATGCAACTTGCAGATGCACAGATATTTATAGCAGTGTGAGTATAGCTTATTTTTCTGATGACAAAACATGCACAAGATTGTTTGTGGAAATAAGAAATATACTTGATCAATCAAATAATCATAACTTCTGGATTTGTGCATTTTGTGCTGATGTCAGATCATTTTTTAATTTTGAAATGATTACGTCATTGCCCTCTCTATTTTTGAGTCATCTCTTTTAAAGAACTGAGATTAGGACATTTTTGCTGTTCAATTTCAGAAGAATTGCAAGGTTTTCTTGTTTCCTTTTTTGCAAATGTATCACTACTGCATCAAATGTATAGTCATTCCTGCCCTTTTGCCATGTTTTAAAAATCAGCTATTTCTGTACTCCAGCCATTTATCTTTATGCCCGTACTCTTTATGGGTAGTGCCGGACAAGAGGGACGACATATTTCAATCAATTTGACCACAGAAAATAGGTTGGGTTGAACTAAAGGAATAGCAAATTCATGCATTTTGAAGCTTTATCAAATACACCCTGAAAAGTGTTGTTGGTTTTTTTGGACACATGCATGTTTTCTGGTACCTGCTGCAGTATTTTCTTGAAGATCTGATCATTTTCCCTGGCTTAACCAAACAACAGACCTCCATTCCTGAGGGCTCAGTTATACTGTGTATTTAAGGTTGGAGGTGCAAGAGTATGATTTATGTGACATCTCTCACATGATGTCTGAACGTGTTGCTATGTAACTAGTAAACAGGCAAACAGAAAGCTCGTTAGCGTCTCTTGAGTTTTTGCTTCCAGTGAAGTCCTCAGTTCTCCTCCTCAGCAGTATCTGACAGCTACTGACACACCATAGCTACCAAAAACACCTCCAGAGATGTGACACGACAGCTGCTTTTTTACACATCTTAACATTGAGGATCAGAGTTATCCAATAAATAATGTGACATTTAAAGTACCGTTTCACCCTCTTTGCAACACGGCCTCAGAGTAAGCGTTGCTACATTTACAAAGTGCTCGCGACGACGTTTCTCCACCATGGTGCAAATTCCTCAGCTTTCTGTGAGAACAGGAGTGGAAAGAGAATCAGAAGACCTGTGGGAAATGACAAGCGAAGAGGAAAATGGACTCTTAAGCCAAGAAGCAGTGTCGATTAGAATCACATATGTTTGGCCACATGTGCTATCTTACTCTCTGCTGACCAAAAGGAATTTATGAGCTTATGTGGGTGGAAAAAAGGGGCCTGATCCAAGACCGGCTTCCAGTAAAGTGTTACACATCCCCCCGCAGTATATTTATTGTATGGAAGTCTGTGTATATGCATGGGGAATGTTAGGGATTATGGTGATTTAAAAGTGTTTCCCAACAAGTAAACATTCAGACCTGTTTTTATCTCAAAGTGCTCTGGTCTCTGCCTCGATCTTCCTCTCCCCGTGGAGGCTGTCGGGGTCGGCCGGGGCCACCGTCTGCCTCACTGCGATCTCCGGCCCTCCGCCATAAATTCCCAACAAGTACTGCCATGTCTCCTCTGAGATCTGACCGTAGTCTGCACCTAAAGGAGGAGGGACCCACATAAAATCGTTTATTGACTTATTTGTTTATTTCATTTCCACCTTTACAACCAGGGCTGAGATTTACCTTGCTTGAGTTGTATGTGCCCTCCTTTCATAACGCCGATTTTGCTGTTGTCGATGGGACCAGGTGGCTCTGAGAAAACACAATCCAAATATATATAAAATGATGATGTAGTATTTTATTTCTCTGTACAGCATTTCATTTTACGTTCTATTTTTAGCTCATCTTATTCTAATCTACTTGTATATAGTTAACTTCTCCTGTATTACTTCACTACTAAACATTCACTTGCATTGTTTTATTCCTCCTATGTTTCTTTTATGCTCTATTTGTATTGTTTTTTTATTTTTGTAATTGTTTTATGTCTTATATTTATGCTGCATTGTTAGTGGAGCCTGGGCCTAACGTTTTTGACTACACTGTAGCTATTGTGCATATCACAATAAAACCTTTGAAGTTGAAGATATTTTTGTAAAGCTAGAAAATAGCTTGAATTGATGATTGTGCTTGTGTTCCTGCAGGGTCGTACCGTTGTCTTTGCCCTTCACGAAGCCCTCCCACTCTCTGAACCACTGCATGCTGATGCACAGGATCACCGTCGGAGCCTCTTCAGCCTGAAACTCTTTGTTCAGCTGCAGACAGGAGAAAAACTGCTCGCTCAACCCCAAACATGGAGATACGTTTATGCATAGGTACCGCTAAACTCATGCAGTTACCTTGATGAAGGTGTCTATTTCAGTTTTTCTGCGTTTAGCCAGAGCTTCAATCTCTACCTGGCAGATGGCGCACATATACAGGTGGTTCACTGCAGGGCCCCCTCCAAAACTGAGGAACACCAACATTAAAACAACACAATATAATGTGATGCAATGTCAACAAATACAAATGAGTTAATAAAATGTCAGCGAAGACCTTTGTCTATGATGACTCAAGTTATTTTCCTTTATTATGACATGTTTTAGCTACATATGTTCAGTCTGAAGGGACATTTGATACATACAGTATGTCTTCAGCTGTGATATCACTAGATATATCACCATTTGATCCATGAGTGTACACATGTTGACACATTTTAAATATCAAATATTGTTGCATATTCACCTGTTGTAAAGGTACTCCCACACATTCTGAGGAACAATCACAACCAAGTCATCCACGTAGTTGTATTTATTAGGAGGGATTCCTGTGCAGAGGTGAAAAACATTTAAGTTAAAGCATCTATTCACTTCTCTCCTCTTACACAAACTCCACAACCTTCTCCCTGCAGGCTTAGTGAAGAAAGAAAGCCAGGTTGTTCTCATCTAGATGCATAAACTGGCCAACTATCGTTCAAATCTTAACAGGAATACTTTTTTTCTATTGCTGAAATGCCTTGAGAGGCCACAAACCTCCTCTATCCTTTAACAGCTGAATAATATGGTTAAAAGAAACGGCAGAGAAGACAGCAGCCAGTTTTGGGAAACTGTGAGTGGGTTGAATATATTGATTTGTCCTCTAACTTAATGTCAAACCTTAAATTCAACACCTCAAAGAATTAGAATGATTCTTTAATGTTAATATGACTGTTAACATTACAAATGAAGCGTCCAAGTTACAAGTTCTTTTTTACAGCTCTTTAAGCTGCTCTCTGATCTCTCGGCGAATTGAAAGTACTTATTGCCTGAGATCTCATGATGTGGTTTTATTAAATGTGCCAAGTGCTAGGACTGTCTTAGGGAAGAAAGCTTTTAGTTGTGCAGCTCCACTAACTTGGAACAGTCTGCAAACATGTTTAAAACTGAGCACTTTGGTTCCCCTGCATCATTTTAAAACTCAGCTGGGTGACATGCTGTTTGATACTCATGGTACCTGTCTCTGTAAATAGAGTTTGTAAACTGTAGCCTGTACATTATGTTGTATGTCATCCTTATTGCTGTTCTGTTGTTTTTATGTTACATGTGTAACTAATGTCCTGCAGGTCACCCTTGAAAAAGAGATCTTTTGATCTCAAGGGGCTTTCACCTGGTTAAATAACGGCTACAAACAAACAAGAAACTTTGGTTTATTTTAATTGGTAAAAAATTGAGTGCATATTGTGCTCATTTTCAGGTTCAAATGTGTATTTAGTGTCTCAACTGGGACATGTCTCCAAGCTTTAATGTTCAAAAAGCTCTTTATTTTTCTCATACTGCCTGAGCAGCAGCACCTCTTTTCACCCTCTGTCTAAAACCAGAGCCCAGTCTGCTCTGATTGGTTAGATGACCTGCTCTGTTGTGATTTGTCAACCGCTTAGAGAAGTCCCGCCCCTTGGACTACCGCTAGCCAATAGAAGTGCTAGTGTGACATAGGGATGTCACTATGTTCCGGAAGTAAACAAAGGAGTCCAATGGAGGCGTTTCAGGCAGGGGAGTGTGTAGGAGAGAAAGTCCCTCTGGAGGGAACAATGGGATTTTAGCCTTTGCAGACCATTTACATGCATGAAAACCTACATAACACACTAGAGGAAAGGGAAAGCTCTCTTGCCACCCACCTCCGTGCTGACAGAGGAAGGTGTGGTTGCTGATGGGGCCCGGTTCGGTGAAGGTGTTGAACTTGTTCAGCCACTCTCTGGAGATGTAGAACTGCAGCAGGCTGGGCTCCCTCATGCTGGCCAGAGCCACCACCTTCTGCCGCTCTCTCACAGACTCCTCGCTGCTTTTCCTGCAGGAAATAAATACAGTCAGTGACAACATTTAAAATAAATAGTCTCAGTATAAATGTCTGAGATGATGGGATCTTTGAGTGCTTACCGATAGAACAACACGTAGGCCTCTGCATTCTGCACCACCGTCTCATGGACCTCTGTCACATACTGGTCATCAAACTCATACCACTGACCATTAATCACGTTCTGACAGTACGCTATATAGTGTCCACCTGCAACAACAGAAACATTTAGATAAAGAGAGTGTGAAAGCGTGACCCATAGTACCGTCGGGCCTATTAATGGACATGGAACACTTTTGTATATAGTTAGATTAAACTTGTTCTGAAATATGTTCATGTGCAAATGCAACTTTAATATTTAGTAGTAGGTCAAGTGATGGTTATAATAAGTAAAGGAGTCCTAGCTAGGAGCCCTAAAGGTGAGACGCAGAAGCACCAGATGCATCATGCTTAGACCTAGCCTACAGTGTTAAGCTACATTGCAGTGATTTGCCTTTTTTTCCTGTATTTCCAGGTAAGAAAAAGCAGTGACAGATTTAAAATGAACGTGTAAGTGTAACAAACTAGCGGTAATGCTAATATGATATTTACATTACATTTTTTTATAGTTTAAACAGTGAAATGACGAGTGTGTCATGTGAAACAGTGCGTCAACTAAATATTTACAGATGCATCATTTATTAGACCTAGCCCACAGTATGACACTTACATGCTTTTTTTTGTGTGTCTTTTTATATTTTCAGAACTATACGAAGTATAGCATGGAAGTCCTTTTTCTGCCAAGTGTGCAACATGAAGACAAAAATAAACACCTCTGCTGATTCTGACTCTACATGGAGATAACTTTTGATGTACTTTTATCTGTAGGAAATGAAGTAGTTTCGTACTTCCTGCAGTGCCGTGATGACAGATGACTGACAGCAGGTCGTAGGTGGTGACCTGGGATGGACTCTCTTTGGCCAGGAAAGGCCCCATGTCCAGGCCCTCCAGCGGGAAGGACACGTGGCTGCTGATCTTAAACGAATACATGACCTCGTGCCGGAAGCGTTTCAGGTGAATGCAAAGAATCTACAAAAAAAACACACGTTATGAAGCCAAACACAAGCCAAACTAAACTTGGTTTATGCAGAAAGAAGGAGATCAGATAAAAGAAATGTGAACCTCTGGAAGCCTAAGTACTTTGCAAAATTTGACACCATTTCTCAACCTGTAGAAGAAAAAAAAACCTCGTCAAAAATTCTAAATGGAAAACACCCTTGGTTAATGCATTAAATAGGATAATTTCTCAAAAAGATACAAAAGTATTCTCCTAGATTTACTATGCATACTCACTTTTTACATCTCTCACAGCTGTACATGTTGTCCCCTATCAAAAGAAAGGATTTACATGTGAATTGTGACACATTTTCTCGACAAGAGTATCATAGTACATTTTCCACAGTGTAGCCAGTTTACCTTTGAGCTCATCTGCAGCAAAGAAAGCAGCGAGGCAGTCCTCCAGGGTCACAATGGGCCCCCAAAACCATGTGGGGATACATGAGACTACGAACCTGTTATAACATAAAGAGACGTGATCATTATGGTGACAGAGACCCCTTAACTCCGTTCCCTCACAGCGACCATGCGGAGAAAAAATGACCTTCATGAAGGTCAGAAACCTGTAATGATTAAATGACCCTGAAAGCATCGCTGCCTGGAGCTCCTGAAAGGGTCTTTGATGGTAGGTTTAAAGCGCGGCTTTTACCTTTAAAGTGCCTTGAAAGGGTTGCTCCTTAGACGGTCGCATATGCACACATAGTGCACCCTTTTCTTCAAATTGAATATGCCCAGCAACCAGGCTCTCTGACAAGACAGGGAGGCGGGAGGAGGATGCATGGATGGGCATGATGGTGATTGTTAAAGGAGGCAGTTCACCCACAAATCCGAAATACATGTTTCTTCTCAAAACCCTAGTGGTATTTATCTTATTTAGCTGAGAGTCCCCAAGGGTTGGAGATATCTGCCACAAAGATGTCTGCCTTTTTCTCTAAACAAATCAAACTACATGGCACTTGACTTGTGGTTCTACAAGCACAAAAAAATCAATTCGAAGAACTAAACAGATGTGTCTCTTTCCAGAAGTCCTGACACTGGGGGTGTTTCTCAATGTCGAGTAAAGCTGCTCCAGAGCCACTATTTCAAGCATACTACGTCATCGAGTGCCGCCGAAGTAATGTTCTAATGTCCAGCATACTTGGAATTCTACCGAGCCCGGCGTACTTCGTTTGGAGACATTTCGAGGCTGCACATGTGTAGACTCCGCGGTCTTAAAATCCCCACAATGCTTTGCGCACGGACCAATTTCCCCAAATCTGTGGCGGAAAATGTAAGGCGGGGCTTCTCATGTGACGCACACCTGCACACTTGTTAGCCTGTTCCACTCTTTGTTTTCCGAATGCCAGGAAGTATTCTTGCCTCGCTTCTGAAGCAAGACGCTCGGCAGACATGTGCTACCAAGCAAGCGTACTCGAGATTGAGAAACATCCCAGAACTCAAGATAATCCACGGACATGTTGTGAGCAGTTCATGTAGTAAACTTATCTATTATCACATCCACTCATTGGCGATCAATGCATAAATGCACACTTCACTCTGTGCGGTGATACGGCTAGTGGGTGTAGTTGGGTAAAAGGAAAAGTAATTTCTACATGAAGCTGCTCGCAACAAGGTTTGTAGATCATCTTGAGTATCTGGGTCATGATATCTGGAAGGAGACATTGCTTTAAAAGTGTGAAACATAACACTAATGTTTGCATTGAAGGTATTCCTGATTCTGTCAGGGCAGAAGTCTAACAGGAGCCTGCCTCATCATGTCGTTGGGACCATATCAAGCAACTGGAAACATGAAACCAACAATAGGGGCATTCACTACATATATTCAAGAGAAGGTGATTTCTCATCGAAGGAAATTAATCGTGGTATCTCTTCTCCCTGTTAATAGCAAAGTCCCAACATGCCCTCAAACGCATCATTTGCACTTGATTTTCAGAGATAATGTGGAGTGATAATCAAGTGAGCATCACTATCTATTACTCATGATTCCACTTGCCTCCTTTTACTGTAAGGAACTTCCTAAGTATATCATACAGTGATGAAATCATCTGGATTACCATCTAGATGTAAACCTTGAATCAGATACCTGCCTAGAGAAGATCTCAATGACCCCAGCATATCAGTGTGCTATCAGACAGCTTCTTTTCAAATCATTTGTTCTAAAGCGCTCCACTGACCGGCGTATGGAGTCCATGAAGAAGGTGACCCAGCCCTGCGAGCCGTAAGTGTCGGGACTTACCCCGGTCTTTACCGGGAGGTTCTGATGTATGGACGAATGGAGCTTTGCCAAGTCCTCTTTACCCGGAATGGGGAGGGACAAGTCCTGGAACGTTTCCACCGTAGTAGAGACCTGTCATACATAAAACATAAGAGCGTTAAAGGATATGTTAATACTAGGGCTGCATGATTTGGAAAAGGTTTTAGTAGACAGATATTGCAATTGCAGTATTAGAGCATGATCATTTTTTAAACATCATCATTCAAAATATAATGAAACGATCATGGTGGCCTTTTTAAATCTCACATGGAAACATTAATAGTATTAATAAAGTAAATATACTGTGGTTTCTGACTAAATATGTAGCCCCCCCTGCTGTTTAAACAGCTGAAGTGCAGCTCACCCTGTCGCAGGTCAAACACTGGACCAGACTGAGGATGGAGCCATCGAAGATGTCTGAGATCACACTGCGGAAGTGAGACTGTTTCTTCTTCCTGGCACTGAGCAGCAGCTGAGCTGAAAGATTCATGGAGGCAAGGCAGATAATAACATTATACTGTTTATTCAACAAAGGCATCTTCATCATTGCTACCTGCAATACTGTGTTTGGATAAAGGCAAAGCAAGCAAGTCTATAGTATATTGTGATGGCAGGCACACTTTATGAAATATAATTAAATTCCCTGATATACTGTGTGTGTTCTGAAATAAAATAAAGTTCTCCAGAACAGGCTACTTCACAATGCATAAATATATAATTGTAAATTCATATGTATAAAAGAGGCGTGCTGTATATGTGAAACATATGGAACTCTTACTGAAGAATCAAATTCACATCAAAATCAATAAGGATCCTAGCAGGTGGTGCCTTGACTTCCTTTTTCACTAAAACTCCAGCATAGATCCCACTGTCCGTAACAACTCAATTGACTCTGTCGTGCAATTGCAAACATCCAATGCAGAGGTTTAAATAACTGGAACTCCCCAGGAGTCTGTACAAATGATAAAGTGTGTTATATGGGCAGTGAAACATCTTTTCTCTTCTCTGGGATGTGTCCTTACCTTTTTTGAAGGCGTACGCAGGCCCTGCAGAGCGCAGGGGGCTGGAGCGAGGCGGGCTGGAGGACAGTTTGGGATGCAGCTCCTGAAGCGTCCTCACAGGACTGCAGGGAGTGGACTGGGTCTGGCTCATTGTCACCTCATTGTCTGGCTCTAGAAAACAGTATGTTAAAGGCAAAAATGGACAGTTCAGAGACAAATGATGCACATGTTAGATATAAAAAAACAAAACAACAGAAAAAAATCCATGTTAAAGGGATAGCTTGCATTGTTTAAAGTAGGGTGACATTAGGTACTTATTACTAGACAGTGAAAGTTAATGTTGGTCGGCACCGCTTTAGTTTGGATAAGCAGATAGGAGTACTTGCATGGGCTCTAAACAATACAGTATATGCTGCTATGGAAGGGGGCAACAGCAAAACTTAAAAATAAAAAGACGGTTTAAATGAAAACTGTATTCGGAATATTTTCCCTGCCTTATCTTGTGTTCAGTCGACAACTATAGCCGTTATCTTTCGTCTCGTCAAAGCCACCAGACTCCATTGATAAAAACAGTACCACACAGAACTAAAAGGTAGCTGGTCTATCACTCCATCTATCAATTAGTTCTTTGTGTTATTCGATTACTTTCTTTCTGGTGTATTTAAGTTGTTCATTTGTTCAACAAACTAATCAATGCAGCGGTAGACCAGCAACTCCCCCAGTATGTAAGATAAAATCACTGATTTTGTCCACAGAGTCTAGTGGATTTGAAGAAAACATAGAAAAGGTTCAGTTCCTCATCAAAAAGGGCCGTCTAACTGCAAGGTAAAGCACTGAAGATATTATAAATAAAGCGTAAACCCAATCTGATATTGATTCTCTTGTGTGGCTTGAAAACGTTTTATCCGGCCCCCATCCACAGCAGAAAGTTGCTTCGCTTCCGTGCCGGTGCTCCTGTCTGTTTGTCCAATCTTGGGGTGTGCCGACCATCATCTACTGTAGGTGATACACTGACTATGAAAAAGTGCCTCACACAGCCCCACTGCAAACAATCCGAACTATCCCTTTAATAACCTGAGGTGCTGCTGCTCTGGCTGCTCTGCCCTTGCCCAGTATCAGATAACTGGTTGTTCTCTTGGTTCTCGGCCTCAGTGTTTGTGGTGGGCGTTAACTCCTCTTCGTCTTCCCGCTCGGGAGCCCCCTCCTCCTCAGCGGCGGCTGTATCCACATCGGCGTCTTCGTCCATCTCCTGCGAGCCTCCGCGGAGAGGAGAGCCCGACACCCTCCTCTCCTTCAGCCTCTCCTTCTCCGAGATCACCCCTCCGGTACTGACGCCCACCACCCCTCCTCCGGTCGGCGCCCTCACCCCGTCGCACTCATCCTGCAGGAGCAGCTCTCCGTCGCCCACGCCTCCCCCCCCCTCCCCCCGGTCACTGCTGGAGCCAGAGTCACATGATAGGAATTCATCCTCAGATGGGGAGCGCTCTCCATCTCTTATCTCCTCACCATCACTGCCCTCCCCGCTCATGCTGCACTCTGTCAGTGGCTCCTTCAGTTCCTCGTGCAGCTGGTCCATCAGGCAGCGCAGGAACTCCTGAGTGTCCTGCAGCAGGAAAACACATTGCATTCACTCAGAGGCAGGATGCATTACAGCTGATGCATAAACACACAGTCAGGAGCTTTGCAAAGAAGTTCATTTTTGGACAGAAATGTGAATAATGGTGTATTTCTTATTTACAGCACAAAGCATTTTGTATAATGGTAAGAAGTGGTACAAGGAGAACTTAATCAGACACAACAAACACTATTATTGTCAACACTTTGCCAAGGTAATTACAATACAACAAACCAGATACTTTCAATCAAACGTGCACTAAGCCTGAACCAAATTCAAAACATTTCTAAACTAGAGTGTCCTACAAAGAATTAGACCATCTCAAAGGCTTGATTTTAGTTGTTTATCAAAAATTATGTTTTTACTTCAATAGAGCTACTTCAAAGTCACAGATGTTTTTTAATGTTTAAGCATTCAGTTTGAGGGTATGTTGAGGTATCAGTTTAGCCTGTTTTAGCTCAAGTAGTGGATGTCACCTGGATCAAGTAGTCTCTCTTAAGTTAAAGGATATTGTATGTGACATGGGAAATAAACTTATTTTTGTTTTCTTGCCATGGTTAGATAAGAATATCAATATCATTCATGTTGTGCACAAAATATAAAGCTGCAGCCATGGGTTCAGTTAGCTTAGCATAAAGATTGAAAGCAGGGGTAAACAGCTCAACTGTTGAAAGGTAACAATATTGATATAACTTGCACATTTCAAGCTCACTAATTATCACCTTTTATATTTTGTTTGTGTAATGTACAAAAACTGAATTAAAGAAATGACATGTTGCAGCTAGCTAGCTTCCCTCTGCTGTGCTAAGTTATGCTAACTGCTTCTCTGCAAGAAAGCAACAAAGTGTCAAAAGTAGCCTATTATATAAAAACACTAATTTTAAGAAGGGTGGCACTAATGCAATAATATCCAGATAAAAAGTATCTAACCTCTCCTAGAGTTTCTCTCCACTGTTTTCTACAGAGAGACTTAGAAATGCATCTATGATTTTGTCTGGTTTTGGGACATGTAAGAAAAATACTTCACCAAGAACTGAAGTAGAAGTAAACAATCTAGTCAAGCCTTTGATTAGTATTAACAAATGTAGTGGTTAATAGCAGATAGAAGTCATGTTTAGGGAATGTGTGAGGAACATACACAGGGGTTGAGAGTTTAAAAACAAAGGACAAGACCGTGTCAGGCTGTAGAGTGATGCCAGGTGTAGTTACCTGCTGGGTGCTTGCCCCTACCTGCTGAGCGTAACCACGAAACATGGGGTTTACTAGTTTGATGCCATGAGACAGACTGGTAGGCACGACATAGCTGGGCCTGCAGGGGGGAGCCATGACAGTTAGTTAAATAAACAGTAAAGGATTCATTAGCACACAATCGTCTCGTATAGCTGCATTCTGTCTGTGTCGATTTATGTCTCTCCTCATGTGGTTATTACCGTTTTTTATGCCAGAGTTCGGAGATGAGTTTCTGGTAGCTCTTGCAGAGAGCGGGCTTCTTATCGGTCCGGACCAAGCCACTGCAGTCCAGGAAGAACTGAGTGAGAGGAGGACTGGGGAGGAAAGGGAGGAAAATATGACATCAGCACAAGTGTTTAACTCAAGAGGAGACCCTTCCCCAGTAATGGACTAAACGTAATGACAGGAAGTGACCTCACCAGTTGGACAGAGCTTGAAGAGCTGCATTCATGTAGCAGGAGTTACCTATATTTTTCATTCCTGTCAGGCCTGCAAACAGTGGAAACAAGAGCCATACAGTTATTTTATCCCCAGAAATACAAAAGTTTACAAACCAAGCATATTTGTTTTAAAATATGTATTTATTAATGCCAATCTGGATTATAGGAAACAGCTCTAGTACCTAATCTTAGGACTCAAAGCAATTGTATCTACAGATTGTATTGAAGATGGCCCCTATGACCTGATTGAATGAGCTCTATCTACAAGGAGTTTGATAATACAAATACAAATATTTATTCCGAGCAGAAAAATGTGTACGGAGTAATTTCACAGTGTATGAGGGCAATCGTAAGTAAATAAAAACAATTATAGAAATGGGGGGGATTGAAATTAGAAAATAAAAAATGATTGTAAATGTTCGGAAATGTATGTTTACTGGAGGAAAAGTGTTCACAGCACACATTTTGTACCTCTGGGTTTAACCTCATCCTCCTCTGACTCTGAACCCTCATCTTCAGCCACAGCAATCGGTACTCCTTTCAGTGGGTGACTGAGTGGCTGAGGAGGTGCTTCCTTTGGGATTAAAAGATACTATTAATATGCTGGTGAGTATGAAACAGGTTTGGCATCAAGTGCACTTTTCCTTTTTAAATCAAAGGATGTTGATGTGCAAGGTGTTACCTGCTCTGAGGCTTTACAGGTGTGAGGAGCAGTGTGGACAGGCAGCAGCGCCGGCCTGTGCTCCAGAAACACCTCCCGCTCACACACATAGCACCAGATCCTGAACGTGGTCAGGTTCACCGTCAGGTTGTGCTTCTCAGCCTGAAGGAAACACACTCACAATCATTCAAGGGACATTTTTCCAGGAGGAGGTGAAATGTTATATTCAATGTGAGGGGTTTTACCTGAGCATGCAGGGTGCTGTGATCGGAGAACGACTCTCCACAACCAACATACTGGCAGTCGCTCTACAGAGAAAGACTTCTTATTTTATCTTGAAAGGCATTACATCTTCCTGTTTTATCTCTATGAATCGGCAGTTCCCTAAACAATACATATTTATTTATCCTACTTGCACATATTCGGTAGTTGCTTACCTGCCTTAGTTCAAAAGCTACTTCATTTATAATTACATTTATGCCCCACATAATCATTAATTATTAAGCATCCACCTGGCCTCCGCCCACAGTATCACTCAACTCTTTTCCCTCGTGGCATCTTAACGCTCTCTCACCCTACGCTTGGTATTGCTTACTGACATTTCCAATAACTCCTTTTGCATACTCTGTGCATAAGGTAATTGTGTAATTGTTTCACAAAACTTCAGGTCTGCTGCAGCTCTTTTCTGTTTGCCACTTACTTCAAATCATTATTTGTTTTATACATCTAAACAAACTCTTTTATATTACATCCGTTGGTTTTGTTTCATTTGTTTTACTCGTACTGTGTTGGGTTTCGCAGTTTTGCACTGTCTTGATGCTTTGATGTTTTATGTAGAGCACTATCAAATGCCTTGTCACTGAAACGTGCTTTATAAATACACTTGCCCTGCCTTGTATAATAAATGGATCCCTGACAGAATGTTTGCAGAATGTCAGACCCATTCTTCTTCTCAAAGAGCCCTGAATGATTGATCACTTATTTTAGCAACATTAACTATTACTTAATGTTTTATAATGTTATGTTGTTATGACCATTAAACATGTATTTGTATTGTAATATTAATTAAATATATGCATCAATGTCATTGTCTTTGTTCCCCTGTTGTTTTGTAGTGTTTGTCCCATTTGGATTGTTTTCATATTGCTTACCACTTGCACCTTCACCATTGTACTGTGTTGACCAAATGTTAATGTTATTTTATCATTTAGTCTGAAAAAAAACTAAAAACATTCACCTAGCCTTCTTATTTAAAATGCAGCAGTACTAGCACTTATAGTGGTCATAATTGATGGGACAAGTTGCAAAAGCTTCACTGATTATTACCCTTCAAAACAAAGATTTAAACATGGTATATTGTTTTTTTTTACCTGCAGACAGGCCCACAGGTTTGGGCCCCCTGCTCCACAGGACTGGCATGTTCCCTGCAGATTTATTAAAATAGAAAGGAACAGATTAAAAATATTGCAAAACATGTTGGGTCACTTTGACACATCAAGGATGCTTCCATAGATACCTTTAATCACAGCAGTAGTGGAGGAAGTATTCCGCTAATTAAAAAATACTTAACACTTTGATAGTACACTGTCACACTTAAAAGTTCTGTGTTTAAGTAAAAGTGTGTACTTATATAAGTAAAAGTACTCAGATGCAATGCATAACAATCCAAACTATACTAATCTCAAATATTTAAACTAGATTCAAACAACTAATAGAAAAACCAACCAGATGTGTGAATCTGGAACCATAAATATAAACAAAGTACTTGCCAAATAATTTCTAGTCAATGGGTGTTTAACCACATTTTTATTTTATTATTTTTATGTTGATGTTTAGGGAACAAAATTCTCTATTTTTAAAGTATCCAAAAGCTTTCAGGTAAATGTGTGGTAAAACTACAACATAACAGAGCATATATTCCAGCTCATTCTTTTTTTATTGGAGTGGAATAAGGCTGCTTCAACAACCTAATGGGATGTGTAGGCCATGGAAAACAGCCAATGACCTGAACATGGCATCTTTTATTTGCCAGTGAATGAATAAAAACCCACCTTGGATTTCTCGAGGAGGTCCTCCTTTGTCACCTCTCCTATGGAGTCCAGGTGTGGACACGTTTCTGGTTCAGCCATAGCTACTCTTCAGGGGAACGTCTTGCTAATTTGACAGGACAGTAATAATAAAACTAGTGATACAGATGAAAAGCTGTTGTAGCTAAAGCTAGCTTTATACAATAATCTAAACACAATAGCAGGATATGTGCATCAATCACATGCACCTCTTCTATGACTGATAACTGGAGGAATAGTTGGATAAATTATTGTTTTTTTAGCCCATCTTTTCACAGTAAACCCCCACATAATGTAACATCTGAAAGGCCTTATGTTTAACAAACGAGAGCTCAGAAATCATCTCCTCACTGCAGCGATGACAGCAGCACATTTTATGAATGAGTCGTATTTACCAACAGAAGCAGCTGACACGATGATCATCCATTTTTCTCGTTAACAAGCCATAGTGGTTGCGGGGCAGGGTATAGTATGCTAGCGAGATATTGGAGAAGCCAAGCCGAGAGACGGACGCGATACCCCCGGCCCACCAACCCCAAACAACTCGCCCCCTCCTCCAATCCTCCGCACGGCACGGCACGGAGCGGAACGACGCAGGTCTGGAGCAGGAGGAGCGACACGGAGCGACGTCAGTGTAACAAATCCAGCCCATCCAGTATCTTTACAATGAAGGCATATTTGTTTCATGCAATTGAATACAATTAATTACTAGATATACAAATAGATGTTTATTTATTGTGCTTTTGCTAAATTGAACGTTTGTATTGATTAATGTTAAAAAGAATACCTGTTTACGGAAGTGACGCAATATTGTACGTCGGTTAAA